TAGCCATCATCCTCACTCCTTGTCATCCGTTCCTCCCCTCTATCGAGCTTGGAAGCATCATCCAACCAAGTACCCCTTCTTGTCCGTTTCCTTTGGAGCTGCATTTACTCGGTCATCCGCTGTCTGGTTCCAACCAATAATAATAGCCCCAAGCCTACATGTAACCTTCTACCTCCAATCCCCAGCTTCCTCTACTTTGAAGGCATACACAATTCCACACCTTTTGCAACAGCAGTGGCTCCGCCTCCCCCTTTCTGTCCCCACCCCCAGACAATCCATGGATTGCTGCCATTATTGACCATCAAGTGACTAACTCCTCCGTACTCTGTATCATTCTGTGTTCTGTTCTACAGTTTTTGTAAGCATTTTGCTGTTCATCTGACTATTGCTGGGTACCTACCTAATGATCGAGGATGAAGCTTCGATCTTCATCAGGATGAGTCTTGATCGACTAACCTTGTCTCGATGCTGAGTCGTGCATCATTTGATTCACCATGACCGATCTTCCTCGACTGCCCACTCGTGGCAACACTTCTACTTTACATCAATCTCCAGCTCCTCCCCCTCCCCCTCCTCCTGCGCCTGTGCATCAAGGCCAAAAATACTCCCATCGAGCGGCCAATGCTCTAGCAAGATTTGCCCAGCCTTTTTTCTCTGGGTCTCGGCCCCCCAGCCCACAGACTTCAACGGGTCGTGCAGACCTGTCTGCTGGTCCCCGCTCAACCAGGTCCAAGTCATTGTACGGCTTTCTTTTCCTTCTTCGGTTTGGGTTTCTATCATTCTGATTTTGTCATTGTCACACCTACTTCCCTTGCTTGGCTTCACTTTCGCCACTCCACCGCCTATTAGGCTACCGCTGGCATAGAGCTTGAGTTCAAGCCTCTTAGAAACGATCGAACTAACATCAGTTTTAGACCTGGGGCATCTCAAACTGTTACACATAAGACCGGTATCCCCATAGCCGCCCTAGACATCTCCCCGCAACGGACGCACGCCGTCATTGGTGGGAAGGAAATCTTGAAGACCATTCGCGTCTCCCCCGACCGTCTGTCTGAGGAATTCAATCTTCGCAATGCTATCATCAGTTACTCCTCCACGCATCATGGTGGGAGTGGGCTTTCCGCGCGCCACAAGGACCAGCTGACCGTCAGGGACGTGAAATGGTCACATGGCAATTATGACCGAACCATCGCCACCGCTGTGGCTAATGGTCGCATTGTCGTCTACGATCTCAATCGGACTGGCTTGGAATATTGCCGCTTTCAAGGACACAACCGTCAGGTTCATCGGCTAGCTTTCAATCCGTACGCTCCGGCATTGCTTCTGTCGGGGAGCCAGGATTCTACGATCCGGATGTGGGACTTGCGGACAGCGTCCGCCGAGCGTGGAGTGTCTATGTGCGGGAGTAAGGAACAGTACATTGGCAACAGTGACGCCGTCCGTGACATCAGATGGTCACCGAGCGACCGTTTCGTGTTTGCGACCGCTACGGATAGCGGTGCAATTCAACTGTGGGACTCGCGGAAAAACAGTGCTCCCTTAATGAGGATTACTGCTCATGATAGACCGTGTTTTTCAGTAGATTGGCACCCGGATGGACAACATGTTGTCAGTGGCGGCACAGACAGGCAGGTCAAAGTCTGGGACTTCTCCTCGACTGCTGAGCGGAGACAAAAACCTACTTTCCAGTTCAGGACACCCCAGGCCGTCCTCAATGTGCGATGGCGTCCGCCTTCCACAGATAAGGAATCCGGCGATTGGCAGTCTTGCCAGGTGGTCACGTCGTACGACAAAGAAGATCCACGTGTTCACCTCTGGGACCTTCGACGACCGCATATCCCCTTCCGGGAATTCGATCGGTATGACGCTCACGCTTCAGACCTGCTCTGGCATTCTAAGGATCTTTTGTGGACAGTAGGCGAAACCGGTGCTTTTACACAGACCGACATTCGTTATGCTCCGCATGTGATCCATCAGCGACCCACGTGCGCCGCCGCTTGGAGCCCTAATGGAGAAGTGCTTGCTTTCACTCAGAAACGAGCTCGGCGAAGTATAATGGGACTCAGGGCAACTGACTTCACAGATCGTTTAGAGATGGAGCACAGTAGCGGAGAACCTTTGGGCCAGAGTCCGACGGAAGACGTCCTTGATGAACCTTCGTTTATCTCTATTCGCGCTCGACCCAGTAAGCCCAGTAGCAGTCGTCCTTCTAAATCGTTGAGCAGTACCCCGCCGGGGCCTCCCGAAAATCCTTCCGTCCTTCCGTTGGGAGAGATGCTATCCAAGATCCCCCCACCTGGACCACGCCAGCTCGGTGTGGTGGGTAGCGTTCCCGGAGCCACTTCGGATCCTGTGGTCTTTCGATTCCTCGCTCGCCACTATTCTCCCTTACTCGAAGCTCCCGAAGATAGCCGCAAGCATGTGGACTTACTTCGCGCCTTGTTGGACTCGTTGACTCAAAATTCAGAGCGCGCAGAGGATGTGTCGCTGCCCAAGCTAGCACAGACTTGGAGGATAGTCAAGTTTGCTGTTATTCAGGAGCTTGAATCCAGGGCCAGGGCGCAACGACAGGCCCCGGAAAGAGGCTCACGCAATGTCAAGAAAAAACTCTCCAAAGAGGGGCAACATGCCGAGCGACCTCCCGCCCTGGAAGATGGGAGGACTGACAGATTGAGAAACCGCTTGTTCAGAGGGGTAATGGAGACAGATGCATCAAAGCATGCCACAACAGAAATTGAAAGCACGTCAAACATCACCACACCTCTCGCGAGACCCTTACCGGACTCACCCGTCGAGTCACTGCGTAGTCCGCACTCGCAAATGACCTCTTTGAACGATGGCGCTACAGATATTGAGCCCTTACCGCCCTCTGTTCTGAGCTCTAACCAAGGCACCTTGAACACGATGAACTCGAACGGTTGGTCGTCAATGTCAGATGTCGAACCCCATTCCATACCCCAATTTGAAAAACGCCAGTCAGATGCAGGCGATAGTTCTCTCGGTTCGTTCGAAAACCCGCCACGAGACCTTGTTGGGACATCGACGATTCAAAGTCCGGAAAGTGACCAAAGATCAGCACCGCGGGCCATTAATCGTCAGGCGGACTGGCGTCTTCGAAATCACCCTGATTATGTCAAAGGAGCGTCAGAAGACGAGTTTGACCAGAAAATGGAGGACAAAAGGGCAGCGATTCGTGATTACAAGCTCTTTCCTAAGAAGGTCTTATCGCTCGAGTCCCATATCGAGCCCCCAAGGCCGCCGCCTTTCCACCGACACGAATCCTCGGAGAGCTTTCCAATGTTCTCAGAATCTACAGGAAGCTCACACCCTTCCAAATCACTGGCTACATCGTTTTCCTCTGCGGCAAGACTGTACGATAGCTCGAAGATTGCTGAAACGGACGAATCCGTCATTGAGGACTATGCTCGCGAGCATGAGAATCTAGAGCTTGCTCACACCTCCATATTGAACGAACAGGCGCTTCAGGATGACGGATTGTTTCAAGAAAGTGTTATTGATGCTAGCCGTGTTCATCTGGAACGTCCTTCGAGCCCTCCGCAACTTCTAACGGAGTCTAGCCCCGTGCAGATTCCTAAGGACAGCTCAACATCGGCCAAGAATGCATCGAATTTACGATCTATACCTGAGTCGACCGAGGACCTTTCCGACGTCGCTATTCCTCTCAGCCCCAACCTGAGCGGGAACAAGCCTTGGGGGCCAGAAATACTGCTGAAAGAAGCGATCAGGTATAATCACAGCAGCACGCATGTTGACATACAGTCTGCTGCCCATCTACTTCAGAAATTACGCGTGCTCTTCCGAGAATGCGAGAAACTTCTCCCAAGGGAGGAGTGTGAGCTCATCTTCAGAACCTACCATGAGCACCTCGTACGCCAGTCGATGTACCTTGAGGCTGCCGAGCTTCGACTTTTGTGTGTACCATCATATCCAGCGGTGTATGAGTATGCCCAGACAAATACTTTCATAAATGTGTTCTGCTTCACATGCAAGCGACCATACGAGAATCCGAAACAGGATAACCGTCGCTGTTACCAATGCAACACCCCGCAAGAACCTTGTGCCATTTGCATGAGCGTTGACCCACCGGCCGACTGGATTACAGAGCAGATCTCATCATTTGCCGATTCCGAGGAGCACTCCGAGGCTACCTCGCATTTGCTATCCTCATCGCGATCCTCACTCAAGACAGAGCAGATCCCTCCCTCCGAGCTGCAGCGTTTGGATGGTGCATTGCTGGGTGATTACACCGTTCCTCGACCAATGGGTTCCACTCTCTGGACCTGGTGTCAAGGTTGCGGCCACGGAGGCCACATGGCTTGTATTACCACGTGGTTGAGCGACCCTTCCGTCAGTGAAGGGGGTTGCGCCACCCCTGGCTGTATGCACGACTGTGGACCGGGACCACGCCGTGAGTTCAATCGGGCCGTTTTGCAGGATGTATCCAGAAAGCGAGACGCTGCTAGCAGAAAAGCCGGATTGGGGTTCGTCAAACGCGACCCATGGGCAAAAGGCGAGAGCAAAGCGGTCGAAAAGGTCCGTGGTATGCTCGGTGTTGCCGCATCAGGCGGAAGCACTGTTTCACCTGCGTCTACCGGGACGGGGGCAGCGTCATCGTCTGGCATGATGTCACCTAAGAAAGTACGATTGGTGACGCCGGGTGAGCAAAGCAAGCGACGGAGTGGTCCGTCGCGGGCGAGCACCGGGGGCAGTAGCGGAATCAACATCTGACGACTTATAACTCACTGCATACACGTATAGAACTTTTATGAGGTCACTCATGGGAATCAGGTTATGAGTTTGATAGTTTAAGGGATCGTGATAGATAACTAGACACAGCATCTTGGTTTCGGCGAAGGAAGATAGGCAGATCAGGTGCTAAACAGAACATGATGTCCAAAATGCGCTTCAAAGCGCTCTAGAACCACAAGTACCTTGAAATATCCACAACACATCCTGTTATAGACAAGTCCAAAGCTAGGTTAGAATCTTCTTTTCTTCTTCGCCGGAGCCTTGCTCTTCGCCTCAAGCTGCCTTTTCAGTTCCTCTCGTTTGCGATCAGCGCGCTCCTGCTCCGTCTCCTGTGGCGGTGGTTTCACTGGCGAAGGGGATCGCTTTACAGCACCTCGCCGGGAAACCTCGTCGCTCTCAGACTTTGCTGGAGGCGGCGGTGTCGTCGTCTCGGCCCGATTCTGGGGGAAGGCAGCTGGGGGAACCTCAGTGGTCTTGCGGGCTTTACCTCCGATCATACCCAGCTTGCCCGCGCGTTTTTGCTTTGGCTCTGGAGTGGAGACTTCTTGCGATTCCGGCGAGAGGGAAGGCTGAGGCATTTGTTGTGGTGGTTGTTCTTTCTTCTTGCCTCCGATGACGCCTAGGCCGCGTGGTTTCGATGCAGTGGTTGCACTTGCGCTGGGTTTGGGAGTGCTTGGTGCTCGAGGAGGAGATGGTGAGGGTTGAGCGTCGTGGTCAGTACCCGAGTCCGTTGCCTCGTGCTCATGGGATGCGAGATCTCGTGGTGGAGAGGGCGGTGGCGGTGTTGGAGACTTCTGCTTGATCTGCTTTTTACCGCCTATGATACCCAGTCCTCTTGATTTCTTTGCTGGGGGCTTCTGTGGCGAGGTTGATCTTCGTTTCGTGGGTACATGTTCATGATCTGTCTCACCGCCGGTTCCAGCGGTGGTAGCGGTGGTAGCGGGTGATTGTCGTTCAGCTTTCTTGGCTTTTTTGAGCCTGGGTGGTGTTTCTTGCCGCTGAGGCAATAGCATTAAAACAAGTACAGGGATATCTGAGGGTTGCACGCACCTCAAACTCATCGTCATCATCGAGATCATCGTTGTCTGTGTCCGTGTCCATTTTCGAATCAGGCTTCGTGGGCTTTTTCTCCGCGGTTTTTGTGGCTTCTCCACGCTTTGGAGGCGTTCTGGTACTAGCTCTGGTTGCTATGAGCTTCACCCACCAGCTGTCTGGGGGTGGGCTGAGTCTCTCTATCTCTCTGGTCTCTGCGGATCCAGATACTTCCGCTAAAATGTTGGCAGCAACCACTGAATCAGGCGACAATTTGGCGACTCCGTCAAGCCATTCTTGTTCATCAAAGGGCGCCACTCCTTTGATGTAATTGGCAGCGTGGGAGAGTAACGTATCCCCGTGAGCTTTCCGTAGCCCCGCAACTCCAGGAAAGATGGTGCTCAGATCGATACCCATGCTCTCGATCTTATCGAAAAGCTTTCCTAGAACCCAGTCTTTCTTACTAAGGTGGTCAAGGAGAGTTCGCTGGCGCGACTCCCATCCGGCTTCTGCTCGAAGTAATGGGAGTATAAGATGCTGAGATGTAGAAGATCGCGGTTCCTTCAAAAGATAAATAGTCCATATTAAAGGTCTCAATGGTGCAGGAAGCTTTGTTGATACTGTCAATTTCATAGAATCCTCTCGCAATCCATTTTCAAGCGATGCAGTACAGCCAGATTCGCCACTTAGAGCTTCACCAATCTTTCCAAGAAGCACTTCAAACTGTTCTGGGTCTTCGCTCGGGTCAATCGTAGTAGCGTCTTCATCAGCTCTGTTGAGAATGTCCTGGCGACTCATATGCTCGGTCCAGATATTGGAAAGGTCAGTCATGTAAACATTGTAACTATCTAGTGTTCTGGAGTATCTTAAAAGAAGAGGAGGCAAGCCATCCTGCCTTCGAAGATGAAGTCTCCTCCATTTCGAGGACATCATCAAGATCTCTCGCTGAGTAGTTGTAAGTGATTATTATCATCCCAGGCAGCACTCCCAGTTGTATTCGACGTGATGGCGGAGCAGAGCACGTGCCGAACTGCGGAAACTCTGCCGCTCGGTTAACCTTCCATCCCGGAAGCTTCTCCAGAGTCCAGACTATTCGAGGATCTTCCAAAGTGACGGCCATCGTGACGTTCAACGAAAACAACTGCTGCGACTGAAAGTCTCTTTAACAAAATCCCAGGCGATCGAACAACGAAGATGTCGTCGCGACTGCCTGACAGAACAGGCTCTAAGCGAAGCCGCTCTCGCTCCCCTTCATCGTGGCGCCAGCCCCAAAAATATCACCGCAAATACGACGAGAGAGACCGACACCGGGACGGTAGAAAATGGGAGGATGGAAACAGTCGACCATCGCAGCCGCCGGTAAGGAACATGCGAGACCAGGTGCGTCTCAATCAGTTACAGGAGGACGAGCAAGTGCGTGAATGGGTGGCGCAGGAGGACATGTTTGTTCTCAAGCAAGCGAAAAAGAAGGCCGAGATCCGCGTCAAAGAGGGTCGTGCGAAACCAATAGATTGGCTTACAGTTACTCTGCGAGTTATTGATCCAACACGGAATCCTCTTGACGACGAAATTGCGGACTCAGAGCTGGATCTGGTGGACCCCGATGGTGTTTTCGAAGGGTTATCTCTGAGTCAATTACTTGACTTGGAGAAGGATATTGATACATTCCTGAGCTTGGAGAAGAATTCACAGAATAGGGATTTTTGGAAAGTAAGCCTTTTCTGCGTCTTGCTCTCATTCGCTCGAGACTAATCTCGCGCCTCCGTTCAGACAATGAAGGTTATCTGTCGAGATCGCCAGAAAACGACTGCCCCCGAAGGACGTGCCCTCAGCTCCGTTGCCGCTGACATCAATCGACTCTTAAGCCCGAAAACATACGAGCAACTCGAGACCCTTGAGGTGCAGGTCAGGAAGAAGCTGGACTCTAACGAGCCTATCGACACCGATTATTGGGAGGAGCTTTTGCGCAGCCTGACGGTGTGGAAAGCTCGCGCTAAGGTGAAGAAGGTCCACCAGGCCGTGATCGATGAGCGTGTCAGAGGGTTGCGCAAACAACAATATGAAGAGGCTGAATCTATCCGAACGAAGCTCGCTCCCCTTGCGCCCGTCATTCAGACCTATCAGGAACGACCTCAAGAGCTTAGTGAGAAAGAAATTCGTGATCTAGATCCCGAACCATTGCTCCAGATTCGTCCAGAGGATAAAGGGTTGGAAATATTGGATGAAGGGGCTTTTCTCAATCAAGTCGTAAGTTGCCCTTGCTCTTGTATCTGTGGTCCCAGTTTGTTGCTGACTACGCTTGAAGGCACGCGAGCGACAAAAGATTCTAAAGATGGGCTTTGTTCCCCTTCGTCTGCGGCAGACGGAGAGACCTTCTGCAGCTTCCGCAAGCCAGACAACGAACATGTCTGCTGCTACAGCATCCACCCGCTTCTCATCGATTCCCAATGAGGATTTCTCGCAAGCGACGAAAGCTCTTTACGAGAGAGAACTTGCTAAAGGAGTCAGTGAAAACGAGGAGATCTTTACGGGCGAGGAATCTGTCAGCACGGGTGCGCAACCGCAGTGGGCCAGCAAGTACCGACCTCGCAAGCCGCGGTACTTCAACCGGGTGCAAATGGGGTATGAGTGGAACAAGTACAACCAGACGCACTATGATCATGACAATCCGCCACCAAAAGTTGTCCAGGGCTACAAGTTCAACATTTTCTACCCCGATCTTATCGATAAAACAAAAGCCCCTACGTACCGCATTGAACGCGAGCATGGGCGGAAACGCGGACAATCATTTGCTGCTGCTGGCGAAGAGGATACGTGCCTTATTCGATTCATGGCTGGACCTCCGTACGAAGATATCGCATTCCGGATCGTAGACAAAGAGTGGGACTATAGCGCCAAGAGAGAGAGGGGATTTAAAAGCACGTTTGACAAGGTATATCCTGGGGCCCCTCCTATTGCACTTGCAAGTACTGACATCCCAAGGGAATCCTACAACTTCATTTTCAGTTCAAGCGAGTAAGCTTTCTCCCCAATTTCCTAACTTGAGTCGCATTTGTTGTCAGGACAGCAGATACTAATTTGGTATAGATCTACTACCGGAAGTGAAGCGTCAACGCCGGCTTACCGACCGAACGATCTCACCGATTTGTATCTCTTGAGCGGTCTGTGTGTGGTCACTCGCTTTCAATGCCCCAATAACTACGTACCTTGGATCAGGTAGATTCCATACTCGCGAATATTTCGGTTCAGGGCAATCTGCTGCGAGAGGAAATCCTGTTCTATGATTGGCCGGGAAATACTAACCGTCCGCTTCTTCACTGGATCGCAGGACGGCCGACCACTTTGACTTTTAAGGTACCTACCTTAGGGGAAGGGCTAAGACGTGTCATACCAAGCTACCTTGCCTTGCGGAGATGTCAGCTAGGGTCTGGCTCCGGTTCTATGACCGCACTCGCATATGAGAGGTTCCACGTGCGGGAGATCACTATCTGATGCTTAAATCCACCTCATCTGCAACCCCTTTCAAGTATTGCACTTCTTCATCCCTTTCCTCCTTTTGGGGGCAACGCTTAAGATGCGTGAGTACTTCTTCAGCTTCGAGCGATGCTGATGAAAATCACGTGGGAGCCTGCAACGCATCCTTGGCACCTTATCGCATTTCGGATCGTCGCCACAAAATTGATACGGAGCGGGTTGTGGCGAAGCGGCGGCTATGTGACACCTTATGCCACCTGCAGGCCGTTTGACGGCTTCCGGCTGGACGGGGAACAGAGGAATTGCTTGAGTATCTGCAGGATGGATCGAAAGAGAAGCACTTGGGGTTCCTCAAGACCCTGTGGCAATATCGATTCCAGAAAGGCCTGTGTCCTGTATCTTCTTTCTTTTTCTTTTTCCGTGCTCTCATAGCTCCATTTTCGGGTTGTTCCATGTATTAAAGTATGGAGCATAGGAAGACTCTCTGCAGGCATCCGCTATTCGCGAGGTCTAAGCTAATCCCGGTCGGCCTAGCTTGTAAAAATTTCACTAATTGATCCGTTGCAGCCCTCTGTAGTACCAGATCCAGTCTCTTCACAGTCATGGAGGTCATTAGTTGCGACCCTATACTGGATCCCTGTTCCACAGCCTGGGAAAGCATTTCCTGTAGAAGGAATGGATTGAAGCACGACCACTGTATGAGTCTACCACACTCAAGACGCATTGACACGGCCAAAAACTAGTCACCCTACGTCTCAGACCCTTCCCCCCTTGTTCGTTGGGGCCAGATGTGCATGAATCTGTCGGGTAGTCCGCAGCAGAAAAGGCGACAAGAAGGAAGGACGTCAAGTTTAGGTATGAGCTGGCACTCTACGCTTTCACCTCATGATAGTTCACCTTGAATGACCTGGTGCATCTTCTCTCTTGCTCAGTGGTCCCGCGTTTCCTTTCTTTTTGCTTTTTCTTTTTTCTTTGTCTTTGGAATACCTGTCAATTTCTGGGGCTCTTTCTGGCTTCTATCTCTTTATTTTTGCATTTACTCTCCACAATTCTGGTCTACTCTTCCCTGTATCTGACGGGGCCATCCCCTCATCAGTGCGCTTGATCTTTCTCTCTCTCGTGTGCCAGTCTTACACCTTATTAAACTCTATTACTATTATCTCTTCTCTGTGGATATTATCTTCTGATGTCAGTTCAACAAGGTCGTGTGGAGTTTCAAAACAGCCTGTGATTGACATTAGCTGTCTTAAGACTAGACAATATGTTTCACTCCAATCCTTCCTACGATTTACCCGCAAACTACTCTGACCATCAAGCTTATCATCATTACTCTTCACAGCCGTCACAATCATCATCCCCCTCTTCTGATGGCTCTTTAGCAGAGAATCCTGATAATTCCAATCCCTGCTCGATAGTGTGGGTGAACTCAAGTTCAAGCAGCCCAGAGACCCTGGAGACAGCATTCACTTTTCCTGACCCATGGGCGCTCAGTACGACTCAGGTTTATCCCCTCAGTGCTTCTACTTCACCGCTGGAAGCTCCAAAAGATGGAAATCTTTATCTATTTTCATACTGTGATGAAGGGACGTCTCATACGATAGCGCCCTACACCAGACCGGACCATGCAGAAATTCCGTTGGGATACCCTCGTGCGACTGAAAGTCCGTCGGACTGGATTCATGGAGTAGAGGGCCACGGTCGCAATGGCCCTGATTCTCAGATCTACCTTACGCCTTCACCAACCGCTGAATACTTTCCACAACACTCTGAGACGATGCATATCACGCCCTCTCCTGCAACAAGGTCAGCTATGTCTTCCAATTCTTCACAACATGTCAATCGGGAGAGAACAGAAGTTGAGCGAGAAATCGAGCGTAATGACGCAGGAAAGAATTCAATTCCAGACGACAGTGGTCCCACAGACCTTCCCTATTCTCATTTGATCGCGGAAGCTCTCAAGACCGCCCCTGATAGGAAGCGTACACTTCAAGAGATTTACAGCTGGTTCGAGCAAAATACAAGCAAAGGGAGAGATCAACGCTCAAAAGGATGGCAGAACAGTATCCGGCACAATCTCTCAATGAATGCGGTATGTAATCCCACAGATCTCCATGGTTTTACCTTTTCTTTGTTTTGATCTCTGTTGGAGTTGCGTGCTAAGATCTGACATTGACTCGCAGGGATTTGAAGCCGTGAGGGTAGAATCTCCCAATGGCAAAAAGGCCGTGAATTACTGGCGCCTCACGGACGAGGCATACAGGAAAGGCATCCAGTCGACTACCCGGTACAGGAAGCAAGCGAATCATAAGAGGCCTTTGGGCTCGGATCCGCCGGCTCCCCAGCGCCAACGATCTGGGGCCAAAGGAGGGAAGGCGACCAAGATTGCAGCCAAGTATCGCGGCCAGATATTTTTGATGACAGGCGGCCAGCAGGACGCTGCACAAAGGGAACGACTGTATCTGCATCCCGCCCCTCTGCAGCTGCAGCAGCAGCTACCGTCACAGATGGTGAATCGCCCTCCGTACCTTCGCGCAGCTACTTCTGTGGCGACAGTGTCACCAACCCGTGCGTCGGGTCCGGCCACGCTGATGTATCGACCGTCGGCGGAACAGTACAATTCGGGTAGCGTTATTGGCTGCACGGAAGCCCCCTCCCTGTACCCCTATGTTCTATGACATGGCGGGGCCTAGCGAAGAGTATTGTTTTGCATATGAAAGCGGGAATGGAGGTTCCCCCATTGATTACCTACAGTTAATAACCATGGCTAGTGGACCGGCGCGGAACCCTCATCAGATCTTCAGCTCACAATTTCTGGACTATTGAGAGAGAGTGGGCCACAGTCAACCAGATTTTCGAGACACCAGGGCCAGTACTCTGATACTTGACTTGCACAAACTAAACTTGTACTGTAGCTGATTATTTTCAGTCCCAGCCAGCATTTGTTCATGATTTCATGTCGATGCATTTTCCTTTTTGCTCATCCTTTTTTCATTTCTGGCTTAGTAAAGAGCAAAAAAAGTTACTGGTGGGGCGTCGAAGATTTCGTATTTGTTATGTGTCCCGGTCTTATTACCTCTCCAGGCTGATTTGATTTGTCTCTCTATTTGACGTCGATCATGTGGACAGTAGTTGCAGACTCTGACGCGACGATGATGGTGATGATAATGATAGGGTAATGCCAGTTCCGAACAGACTCTCAGCATCCATGTCAGCTTGTCGTAGGACTCGCGTCATCGAGGACGAAGGATGCTGTCCGATGTCCTCCGTTCTCCGTATAGATCGTTCATCTACACGAGTCAGAACACAAAAAACAATGCCGACATAATACGTGCAGATAGAACGAGGCAGAAGCGATTATTCGGCGGAAGATTCAGCCGTCCTCGAGCTCATTTTTCAGCCATACAGTCGGGGGGCTGGTGTTTCTGCCTTGTGATTACCTACGCAAGGCATCTAATTGATAATGATAGGGAGCTAAGGTGCCATCTTCAAGGGTGTGTGCAGGTATGTATGTATGGAGTATGTGAAAATATGTAAGAAAATGTCCCTCGGGGGTGGTGGGGTCGATTGACAGTTGGACGATCCCTCATTACGCCAAAGACAGACGAGACGAGAAGAGACTGCGTTGTCATCTTGTTCGTCTGATTGAAGCGAGATGGAGATCTGGCGAGTCATCTCTCCAGAAGACCGAATATCTCCAGCGCGCTAGATGACCCTAACGCTCTAAGCACGTACCATTGGGGTTTTAGCGCAGAAAATTAAACTCTGCCAGAAGGCACTATCAAAAGTACCATACAAATGCCTAACTGACAGGTCCCCAGAGAGAGATAGATAGAGTCTACATAAGTTGATGTTAGAGTCTGACGGTTCATGTATGTAAATGCTGTCAGCCTGTCACATTTGATTCGAGCTGGGATGTAGCTCCTTACTCTCTCATATCTCGCCTTTGTGGATGTCAATCTGCCACTGTAATGCAGCCAAGCCCAATGGCGCGCAACGACAGCGCCAGACAGTGTGACCGCTGTGGATTCTGAGTGGCTCTGGACTTGATTCGACGGGTTTCATTTCTCGTGTGCTCTGTTATTCGATGGTTCGAGTATGATGTCCGTTTTTCTTCTGGCGTGGATTGTACCGGATAAAGGAGTTCGAGATGAGCATCCACGTCAAATCCCCTGGGGATGAGTCGCCGATCAAGGTCATTAACATCTGACAATGAGATTCAAGGCCTTAGGTATGATGACACACTCCTCCTCAAGTAGTTACAGTGTCTCTCTACTTATCTGCGAGTTGGGCTGCTTTTTCCTGCAGGAACTTGCGACATGAATTCCACTGTCAAACTCAGCAAAGTGAATCGATCCATTCATGTCCATGAGTAATCACTTACTTCATGCTTTCAAAGCTTCAAAAAAAAGCCAAAAGAACGTTTTCTATAAAAATAATGGCCCGCACCGAACTCTAAGCTGCTTGACGTAGTCTACTTGAGGGCAATTGGCCGAGATACAGCCTAGCCCAGCCATTGTCCTACAACTACAGAAACGGATCATGATCAAAACGCCGCTTTCTCATCACCCTTCTATTGGCGAGCTGCATACTCCGTATGGTGATCGACTCTTGAGTGCTTGATGAATTCTACGTCTCCTTGAACTAGCATCATGGCTTGAGCGCCATGATCGGAGATTCAATGTGAAAAGAGTAAAGCAGACCGCGGTCTTCCTCCGTCTCTTTCTTTGTTGTGCATCATGTGGTTTATTATTGTTTTCCCTGCTTTACGGTGCTAGGGCTTATGGGATGTTCCTCATGGTGCATGCTGCTCATCAAAGAATAGAACATCATTCCACTTCGGACTAGCTCGTTGCCTTCGCAATTATGACTGGGTTGCCTGGATTCTCCTTCCACCTGTCCTCACCGGATCTTAAACGCCCGGGTTGTCACACCAGGGTTCATTTCCGAAAAAGCAGATCCCCGTATCAGCCTCTAGACTAGGTTATATTTGGTGCGTGCTCATTTCTCACCCCTCTTGCAGTTGCAGAGAATAGTTGCTAATGTTTACAGGTCAATAGGGGACTCAACGCCGTTTCCGCCATCCCCCGAGCATATGATCTTCTTCCTAGATCCTGCATCGGGACGTGCTTATGTGGATGCTATTATAGATCCTTCGGGGTATCAGCACGCAGCTACAGCTGGTTTCATGCATCACCTGTTCGGTTGACGACTGGTTTCCGTGTCGAAGACAAGGTTCTCACGAGGATCACGGGTACCTGGAGCGCGAGAAGAATGGGCTCATAGCTGAGTGACGTCCACCGCTTCCATAGGATGCCTACAGCAGTGTAATCTGTACAGCAATGCGCATCATGTGTCTGAGTCGAAAAGGTATACATATGTGATCTTTCTATGGCTGGTTACATAATTGACAGGTGACATTCCTCTGTCGATCAGCCTTCAGTGACAGAACTCTATCTACTGATAGAGTACTAGTCTACGTCCCACAGACGGCGGACTTACAGCACAGCTTCTTATTTCTGTCCGAAATAAATCCTTAGATACGCCGATTAGTGGAGATCGTAATGCCTTAAACGATAGATGCATGACTTAGACTCATGCTGACGGGGCCCATTGAATGACCGACTCTCTCCAGCCAGATCCCCCAAGATCTACGGAGTACAGCACAACAGTGGATTTCACAATCGTGGAACACCTTGTTAGACCCTCAGCTATGTACTAGCTCGCTGCATGCCGTCCTAATAACCGACCAGGATTCACCCGGTCTCGGTACCTGAAGGTACTTTGACGTGGATAAAAAAGGGATATTGTCAAAAATACATCGACACGATTTGTTCAGCGATGAATTCAAGGATGCGTGTATATGTACGACATCATCCACATCCCGTACATAGTTTCATAGTCTTACGGATTGATAGGATAAGAAAGAGCACTTTACCAGGTTGATAGTTGCCTTGTCGAATGGTGATCGTGATGGTAGACTTGTATTATTGATCACAAGGAGGGAGCTCCGACATCATTCATCCATCTGTGCGCTCTTCGAGAAGGGTATTGTTACTTCTGCCGCGAAGAATCTGGTCCTCCCTTTCACGTTTTGCCGATGTAGCACGGTGGTACCCGGAGCAGTAGGTGTCGGGTCCTAGTACATGTACGAGCAGCCACCCACTTCTAGAGATATATTATCGTGCCCCCCGACTCTCATTTCCACGCACTATGCTTTTCCAAATGTCAGTGCTGTGTTTGTTTTTCTTTTTTCTTTTTTTTTTTTGGACAATATTCAATATTTCGACTGGGTCCATGAAATCTTCTCCCTCGAGGAGAAATTGCAAGTACGTTGCATCGTGCTCCAACATATTTTTCAACAGCAATCGATGCCTGACGATTCAGGCTTCGCCACATCGGAAGAAGCTGGCAATCTGCCATGACTATTTAAGCATGACCATCGAAATCTTTATATGAACCCTGAACAGATGACTTGAGAGTCGTAAGGTAAAGGAAACGATTTCTTAATGACCAACGAGTAATCCGTAACTACGTTATATTCAAATGAGGTCGGCCTGCAGAAGTGGGAAGCTACGCGTCCGGACAGAGTGAAATGGTTCTCTGATGAGCGTGATCATTATTTCATCGCTGGATCTCTCGTGTATTCCCTCTGGACAGATCAACACAGTGACAGGGAGAGCTGATAACTCATGGTGAAAATGAAATTTCATTGATAGCCACGACCTTACAAGGTTCGCATGCTAGCCGTGTCTGTTCATCTTTTATCTCTAAGAGAACCGTACCCGGCCGAATTTTTCCATATCATTCGCTTCCCACTTTGAAAAAGACCAACACCGAGAACAAAACGTAATCCGTTTAGCGCTTGCCAGCGGCCTTCTCCTGAGACTCCTTGAGGACCTTCTTGACGATCTTCTGCTCCTCGATCAGGAAAGCACGAACGATACGGTCCTTGACGCAACCGGCGCAGCGAGAACCACCGTAGGCACGGCTGACGGTCTTCTTGGGCCGGGAGATCTGGGAGTATTCACGGGGACGGAGGGCGGGAATCTAAGCATTTCAATCAGTGATCCTGCTCATCTTCCTATAAATTGGCCAGAGGCGATCGGGATGTGCGCTTTCCGTCCCCGAACTTGTCATGTTTCGAATTGACAGTACGATCGAAGGACACCCAAAAAAGCGCACAGAAGACCACTTCCTAGCCAGAATTTCACTCGGGAGCACTCACGCCGGGGAGCTTGATGCCGCAGTCACCGCACTTGGGAGCAGTGCCCTTCTTCTTGATGTGGAGGTAACGGAGCTCGCCGCCAGGAGTCTTGATGATGCGGACCTTGTTGGACCGCGTGTTGTACCTGTAGAACAAAAACCTATCAATATCGTGCTTCAAGGGCAGACTCGGAACTGATGTGTCTCGTCGCGCCAAATATCATGCCATATGTCACTGAATTAAAGCGAACAACGCCGATGATTAAAGCGACGCAGGGGGCATAGGATTGTGAACTTCTGGGAGGGAATTTCAAACGTACGGGTTCCGTCTCCGCTGTATAAAAAAAAGGGAATCAGCATTTCATCCAAGTAAAAATTGTATTCCAGTATAAGAAACTCACGTATTGCAATCTGTTGTTCGCCATTTTGATTGTCCTTGAACCTCTAAAACGGTGATCAAGAGATTGGCGGCGGCGTCGTCGGTTGTCGTCGTTGTCCTCGTAGAATTCTCAAAGTCATCTGGATTTGTGTGGGTTTCGCTCGGAGCCCTGGAAGGCCGCGCTAGCGCAAATTTGGCGAGCTTGCGCTAACACCAATATGGACTAGCGGCTTTCCGCAGAGAGCCGCCACCTCTGTTCAAGCTTGCCCATCACCAAGAAAGGAGCCAGAACAGCGTCTTCCATCACCCGTTGTGAGAAGGGGATCGTTCGGGAGTTGGGATTTTCTCTTCGGGGCTATCATTTCATTCTTCCGACGCGAATATATCTTCATAACCATCAGTCTTGTGAAGTCCCGTCGGTGCTTTCGTCTTGAGTTTGATGATTTTTCTCGACGTGGTTTGACGCGACTTTGCTCCATTATCAGAGTCGGCTTAAGTCGAAAGCGTCTTTCTTTCATTAATCGCCATCACCATGGCGTCGTTGCCTCCTCCCCCTCCCCCAGGATGGGGTGCAGCCCCTCCTTCCATGCCTTTGGCGCCGCCGCCGCCAGGATACCAGCCCCCAGCGGATCCGAATGTCGCAAAGTTTGCTCAGAAGAAGAACGAATGGCTGCGGACGCAGCGCAATCGGTTTGGAGAGAAGAGGAAAGGCGGGTTCGTTGAGACACAGAAGGCGGACATGCCTCCGGAGCACTTGCGGAAGATTGTCAGAGATATCGGCGACGTATCACAGAAGAAGTTCAGCAACGAGAAGCGCAGCTATCTCGGCGCGCTGAAGTTCATGCCTCACGCCGTGCTGAAGCTGCTGGAGAACATGCCCATGCCTTGGGAATCGGCTCGTGAGGTCAAGGTGCTGTACCATGTGAATGGTTGCCTTACGCTCGTGAACGAGACCCCGAGGGTCATCGAACCGGTTTTCCATGCTCAGTGGGCTACCATGTGGGTGTGTATGCGGCGAGAAAAGAGCGACCGCAGACATTTCAAGCGGATGCGCTTTCCCCCTTTCGATGACGAGGAACCTCCCCTATCGTGGTCGGAGAATATCGAAGACGTCGAGCCCTTGGAGCCGGTCCAGATGGAGCTCGACGAATCCGAAGATGCCCCCGTGTACGAGTGGTTCTACGATCACCGGCCGCTACTTGATACCCCTCATGTCAATGGACCAAGCTATAAGAGCTGGAATTTGACCCTTCCGCAGATGGCAACTCTCTACCGGTTAAGTCATCAGTTACTCAGTGATGTGGTCGACCAGAATTACTTTCACATGTTTGACCTCAACAGTTTCCTTACGGCAAAGGCCTTGAATGTTGCCATCCCCGGTGGCCCACGCTTTGAGCCTTTGTACAAGGACATCGATCCCAATGACGAGGATTTCAGTGAATTCAATGCGATCGACCGCATCATCTTTCGAGCACCCATCCGGACGGAGTACAGAGTCGCTTTCCCTTTCTTATATAACACCCTCCCGAGAAGCGTGAAAGTTTCCTGGTATTCTCATCCTCAAGTCGTTTACGTCCGAACCGACCCTAACCTTCCTGCTTTCTACTTCGACCCTGTCATCAATCCCATCTCGTCGCGCTCTGTCGCCCCCAGAAACGTTACAGTCAGTCATGAGGATGAGATCTTTGGGCCCGGAAACAATGAGGACGATCTTTTTGAACTCCCACCGGAGGTGAAGCCCTTCTTCGCTGACGAGGAACTGTACACACCTGATACTGCCTCAGCGATCGCCCTGTGGTGGGCTCCTCATCCGTTCAATAAGAGATCAGGGAAGATGGTGCGCGCGCAGGACGTGCCACTCGTCAAGCAGTGGTACCTGGAGCATTGCCCTCAGGGCCAGCCTGTGAAGGTCCGAGTCTCGTATCAGAAGCTTCTCAAGACGTATGTGCTTAATGAGTTGCACAAGAAGAAGCCTAAGGCCCAGAACAAGCAAAATCTGTTGAAGACCCTGAAATCTACCAAGTTTTTCCAGCAGACGACAATCGACTGGGTTGAAGCTGGTCTCCAGGTTTGCCGCCAGGGTTTCAACATGCTCAACCTCTTGATTCACCGAAAGAACTTGACTTATCTGCATCTCGACTACAACTTCAATTTGAAGCCAGTTAAGACACTGACCACTAAGGAGCGAAAGAAGTCCCGCTTCGGTAACGCTTTTCACTTGATGCGTGAGATTTTGCGCCTTACAAAGTTAATTGTCGATGCGCAAGTTCAATACCGTCTGGGTAACATCGATGCTTTTCAATTGGCGGATGGCATTCTGTATGCTTTCAACCATGTTGGACAGTTGACCGGTATGTACCGTTACAAGTACAAGTTGATGCATCAAATCCGTTCCTGCAAGGACCTGAAGCATTTGATCTACTACCGATTCAACTCTGGCCCTGTGGGTAAAGGTCCTGGTTGCGGTTTCTGGGCCCCTGCTTGGCGCGTTTGGCTGTTCTTCATGCGCGGTATCATTCCTCTTCTTGAGAGATGGCTTGGAAACTTGCTTTCTCGTCAGTTTGAGGGTCGTCATAGCAAGGGCGTTGCCAAGACCGTCACTAAACAGCGTGTCGAGTCGCACTTCGATCTTGAACTGCGAGCCTCCGTCATGGCGGATCTGATGGACATGATGCCTGAAGGTATCAAACAGAACAAAGTCAACACAGTTCTGCAACATCTGTCTGAAGCATGGCGATGCTGGAAGAGTAATATTCCCTGGAAGGTGCCGGGGCTCCCAGCACCTATCGAGAATATTATCTTGCGATATGTGAAGAGCAAGGCCGATTGGTGGATATCTGTCGCACACTACAATCGTGAACGTATCCGCCGCGGTGCCACCGTGGATAAGACTGTTGCCAAGAAGAATCTTGGTCGACTGACTCGGCTTTGGCTCAAGGCTGAGCAGGAGAGACAGCACAATTATTTGAAGGATGGTCCTTATGTATCTTCCGAAGAAGCGGTGGCGATTTACACAACCATGGTGCACTGGCTCGAGTCTCGCAAGTTCTCACCCATTCCGTTCCCGAGTGTCTCATACAAGCATGACACCAAGATTCTTATTCTTGCTCTCGAACGCCTCCGCGAGGCCTACTCTGTGAAGGGTAGACTGAACCAGAGTCAGCGAGAAGAACTTGCTCTCATTGAACAGGCATACGACTCTCCTGGAACCACGCTGGCCCGAATCAAGAGATTCCTTCTCACTCAGAGAGCATTTAAGGAAGTTGGAATCGACATGAATGACAATTACAACAACATCAACCCTGTGTACGATGTTGAGCCGATCGAGAAGATCACGGACGCCTACCTGGACCAGTACCTTTGGTATCAGGCAGAGCAGCGCCACCTCTTCCCAGCTTGGATCAAACCTTCCGATTCTGAAGTCCCTCCACTGCTGACCTACAAGTGGGCCCAGGGAATCAATAATTTGTCCAACGTCTGGGAAACTGCCGATGGCGAGACGAATGTCATGATCGAAACGGAGTTATCCAAGGTCTATGAGAAGATTGATCTTACTCTCTTGAATCGTCTGCTACGTTTGATCATGGACCACAACTTGGCTGATTACATTACTTCGAAGAACAATGTGCAGCTGAGCTACAAGGATATGAACCATACCAACAGCTACGGATTGATCAGGGGGCTGCAGTTCTCTGGTTTCGTCTTCCAGTATTATGGTCTTATGATTGATCTGCTGCTCCTTGGTTTGCAGAGAGCCAGTGAGATGGCAGGTCCGCCGCAGAGTCCCAACGACTTCTTGCAATTCAGAGACCGTGCCACTGAGACAAGACATCCCATTCGTTTGTACACTCGCTATGTCGACAAGATCTGGGTATTCTTCAGATTCACCGCCGACGAGTCCAGGGATCTTATTCAGCGCTTCCTTACAGAGAACCCTGATCCTAATTTCGAGAACGTTATTGGATATAAGAACAAGAAGTGCTGGCCGCGTGATTGCCGTATGCGTCTGATGCGACACGATGTTAATCTCGGTCGCGCTGCCTTCTGGGATTTGAAGAACCGTCTGCCGCGGTCAATTACGACGATTGAATGGGATGATACCTTTGCTAGCGTGTACAGCAAGGACAACCCGAACCTGCTGTTCTCCATGTGTGGATTTGAGGTCCGTATTCTGCCAAAGATTCGCAATCAGAATGAGGAGTTCTCAGTCAAGGACAGTGTGTGGTCTCTGGTAGACAACGCCACCAAGGAGCGCACAGCCCATGCTTTCTTGCAAGTAACGGAGGAGGACATCCAGAAATTCAACAACCGAATCCGGCAAATCCTCATGTCCTCGGGTTCAACCACTTTCACCAAGATCGCCAACAAGTGGAACACCGCTCTTATCGCGCTCTTTACGTACTATCGTGAAGCTGCTGTCTCCACCGTCAATCTTTTGGACACGATTGTCAAATGTGAGACCAAGATTCAGACTCGCGTTAAGATTGGTCTGAACTCCAAGATGCCCTCGCGTTTCCCTCCTGCGGTCTTCTACACGCCAAAGGAACTGGGTGGTCTGGGCATGATTTCGGGTTCTCATATTTTGATTCCCGCCAGTGACAAGCGGTGGTCGAAGCAGACGGATACCGGCATTACTCACTTCCGAGCGGGTATGTCACATGACGAGGAGACCCTCATTCCTAACATCTTCCGATACATCATTCCATGGGAGGCCGAATTCATCGACTCTCAGCGAGTCTGGATGGAATACTCTCAGAAGCGGATGGAAGCTCAGCAGCAGAATCGCCGTCTGACTTTGGAGGACTTGGAAGATAGCTGGGATCGCGGTCTCCCTCGTATCAACACTCTTTTCCAAAAGGATCGAAGCACACTCAGCTTCGATAAAGGTTTCCGTCTCAGAGCCGAGTTCAAGCAGTACCAGCTGATGAAGAGCAATCCATTCTGGTGGACAAGTCAACGTCATGACGGTAAACTCTGGAACTTGAACGCTTACCGCACAGATGTCATCCAAGCACTTGGTGGTGTTGAGACTATTCTCGAGCACACCTTGTTCAAGGCAACTGCTTTTCCATCTTGGGAGGGGCTCTTTTGGGAAAGAGCATGCCTTGCCAAGGGGACACGGCTGCTACGGTATGACGGTAGCGAAATTGAGGTCCAGGATGTCAAAGAGGGAGATTTACTCCTTGGTCCTGACGGCGGTCCTCGCCGGGCTTTCAACATTGTGAACGGTGAAGACCGTCTCTACCGTATCAAGATTGATGGAAGTAAAGAGGACCTTGTGGTTACGCCAAACCATATTCTGGTTCTTCACCGGGAGAAGAGAGCGACTACTTTCGAGTCAATGCCAAGCACGAACGCTGAAGAACCAGGAAATGGAGACGATGACGAGCTACCTGAGGTTTCAGCAGCAGAGCGCTACGATACCGTTGAAATGACGGCAGCTGAGTTCGCCGCGCTTAGTACAGAAGAACGGAGTCGGTATCGTGTGTTCAGATGTCCTGGCTTCGAGTTGCCTGAGCAGTCAGTGCCGGTAAACCCGTATTTCCTCGGGCTTTGGCTTGGCGATGGTAACAGTAGGAGCACCACGATCTACAACAGTCATGGAGAGACTGTTCGTGAGTTCCTCGTGAACCATGCTGCTGAATTGGATATGTACCTCACATGGCACGGTCAACTTGGCTATGCGACTGTCCCGGATACCATTGAACATCGTCCGGTTGTTCGTCAAGCACGACAGACCATTCGGAAGCTACGACTTGCTGCTAAGAGTATCGCACAACCAGAAGTGTCTGAAGGACTCATGCCAAGTCAAGGTTCGACGGAAGAACCAAGCCAGGCTTCGACGATCAAACCAGTCCACCAAGCTTCGATGGTAGAGCAGAAAGCTGATCTCGATCTGCTCGAAACCGATAGCGAGGACGAGGAAGCCGACAGCGCTGATGAGGATGAGCTTGGAGACCCCGATGCTTCCGAATTTCGGCCGGAGCCGGAAAGCCAGCTATCCCAGTCTCACTTCTCCAATCGTCGGCGGAACCACCGCCTGCGAACAGGCCGTCGAGCATATGGAGATTTGAATGGCGACGAGGAAGATGAACTTCTTCACCAGATCGTGGAACAATCCGAAGGCAGTCGTGTTGACTCGCTCCCCCGGGCGCTCGACGCCTTGGGGGTTATTGCTCAAAAAGAAACAGGTCCTGAAACCGACCGGAAGCATATTCCATCGATATACATGAAAAACTCTCGGTCTGTCCGTCTTGCCGTTCTGGCAGGTCTCATCGATAGTGACGGTTGGTACGTCTATCCAGAGAATATGCTTGGCTTTGCCCAGAGTGAGCGTTGCCATTCCAAGCTCTTTTGGGACGTTGTCGCGCTGGCACGTTCTTTAGGTCTCAGTGTCTGGACCAAGCGACATATGATGTGGAACCCTGCTCGCACGGAGAGGTATCCCCAGCTCTTTGCCCAGATCTCTGGGAATGTGGCCGAGGTTCCTTGTCTCCTTGCGCGGAAGAAAGGCGTTGAGCGTTTGATTCCCCAGACTCACAGTTTCATGATCAAGGACATTTCCCTTGAACCTGAGACCACGGAGTGGGCTGGTTTTAGAGTCGACAAAGATCAGCTTTACCTGCGACATGATTACCTTGTCTTGCATAACAGTGGATTTGAAGAGTTGGAGCACCCTCCCTTTTTAATATTGTGGACATTTTGCTAACGAATATTTCAGGTCGATGAAATTCAAGAAGCTCACAAATGCTCAGCGGTCTGGTTTGAACCAAATCCCTAACCGTCGGTTCACCCTGTGGTGGTCCCCAACCATCAACCGTGCCAACGTCTATGTCGGTTTCCAGGTGCAGCTTGATCTTACAGGTATCTTCTTGCACGGCAAGATCCCCACTTTGAAGATTTCCTTGATTCAGATCTTCCGTGCGCACTTGTGGCAGAAAATCCACGAATCTGTCGTCATGGACTTGTGCCAGGTGTTTGATCAGGAACTCGAGCAGTTGGGCATCGAAGCTGTCCAGAAGGAGACCATTCACCCACGTAAGTCTTACAAGATGAACAGTTCGTGCGCAGACATCCTGCTCTTTGCAACAAACAAGTGGAACGTGACTAGACCTTCCATTTTGTTCGACACGAAAGACGTTTACGAGCCGACCACTACGAACAAGTTCTGGCTTGATGTGCAGTTAAGATACGGCGATTACGATTCTCATGATATCGAGAGATATGTCCGCGCCAAGTACCTCGACTACACTACCGATAGCATGAGTATCTATCCTTCCGCCACTGGTCTCATGATTGGTATTGATCTTGCATACAACCTCTATTCGGCGTACGGACAGTACTTCCCGGGCTTGAAGACTCTGATCCAGCAGGCCATGGCCAAGATCATGAAGGCAAACCCTGCCTTGTATGTACTAAGAGAGCGTATTCGAAAGGGTCTGCAGTTGTATGCGTCTGAAAGCAACCAGGAGTTCCTCAACTCTCAGAATTACTCCGAACTGTTCAGCCCGCAGATTCAACTGTTCATTGACGATACCAATGTCTACCGTGTCACCATTCATAAGACCTTCGAAGGCAACTTGACCACAAAGCCCATCAACGGTGCCATCTTCATTTTCAACCCTCGGACTGGTCAATTGTTCCTCAAGATTATTCACACTAGTGTTTGGGCTGGTCAGAAGCGTCTTGGCCAATTGGCGAAGTGGAAGACAGCCGAAGAAGTTGCAGCACTCATTCGGTCTCTGCCTGTGGAAGAACAGCCTAAGCAGCTCATTGTCACTCGGAAAGGTCTTCTAGATCCCCTTGAAGTCCATCTGCTCGACTTCCCCAACATCTCCATCCGTGCCTCTGAGCTCCAGCTGCCGTTCCAGGCTGCCATGAAGGTCGAGAAGCTGGCAGATATGATTCTGCGGGCAACCGAACCTCAGATGGTACTCTTCAACCTCTACGATGAATGGCTCAAGTCCATCTCTCCGTATACCGCCTTCTCCCGTCTAATTCTTATTCTGCGAGCCCTGCACGTCAATATCGACAAGGCCAAGATCATCTTGAGACCTGACAAGACGGTAATTACACAAGAGCATCACATCTGGCCTACGCTATCGGACGAGGATTGGATCAAGGTTGAAGTCCAACTTCGTGACCTGATTTTGAACGATTATGGAAAGAAGAACAACGTGAACGTGCAAAGTTTGACGAGCAGCGAAGTCCGAGACATTATTCTTGGTATGGAGATTAGCGCGCCTTCACTTCAGCGGCAGCAGGCCGCAGAAATTGAGAAGCAGCAGGAGGAGGCCAAGCAGCTTACAGCTGTCACGACGAAGACGCAGAATGTTCGCGGTGAAGAAATCATCGTCACGACCACGTCTCAGTACGAACAGCAGTCGTTTGCTTCGAAGACCGAATGGCGTACACGGGCAATTGCGACATCGAATCTTCGCACGAGAGCCAACAATATCTACATTTCGTCAGATGATGTTTCAGAGGAAGGATACACTTATATCATGCCCAAGAACATTCTTCGTCGCTTCATCACTATTGCCGACCTTCGAGTGCAGGTTGCTGGGTATCTCTACGGTAGCTCCCCTCCTGATAACGACCAAGTGAAGGAGATTCGGACCATCGTCATGATTCCGCAAGTCGGAAATACTCGAGATGTTCAGTTGCCCCAACAGTTGCCACAGCATGAGTATCTGAACGGACTTGAGCCTCTCGGTATCATCCACACGATCTCTGGCAATGAGCCACATTACATGACTGCTATGGATGTGACTCAGCATGCGCGGTTGATGAATGCTCACCCCTCGTGGGACAAGAAGACCGTCACGATGACAGTGTCATTTACCCCTGGATCTGTTTCCCTTGCAGCATGGGGGCTGACGCCCCAGGGTTACAAGTGGGGAGCTGAGAACAAAGACACCACATCTGACCAACCACAAGGGTTCTCGACCAGCATGGGTCAGAAATGCCAACTGCTGCTCAGCGACAAGATTCGTGGATACTTCCTGGTCCCTGAAGATAACGTGTGGAACTATAGCTTCATGGGAAGCTCTTTCGGCAGCGTCGAAAAGCGACCTGTCTATGTCAAGATTGATACGCCGTTGAGATTCTATGACGACCAACATCGTCCTTTGCACTTCCAGAACTTTGCTGAACTCGAGGACATTTGGGTTGATCGTTCCGATAATTTCGCTTAAAGCAAGTACTGGTGTTGGGTTCCCTTTTCCTTTCTCTATATTGTCTTATTGTCCCTGATATCGAGGCGTTTTCCGCTTCTTGCAATGTTCCACAAGCATGACCGAAGTGTTTTCTTTTCCCATTGATCTGTTTTTTTTTTGGGCGACATAATTCGAGCCATGACCAGAAAAGCGAGGAATGATCATCTTTATGCGATGCAGACTACAACTTGAAATGAATACTGGGGCCTTGTATGTACAGTAGTTAGTAAAATCATCAGTTGTTTGATTAATATTCTATGGTCGATCTACTCTGAGACTTGATTCGTTCTGTCGAGTTCGATGTTTGCTTGATTCTTGATAAGCAGCTCGACTATGCTCCATAGATGGATTAGAGACTTGTATCCTCTTTTTTAAAATTAATACGGGGCTTAGAAGGATTGGTAAAAAGGATAGTGCAGTCTAGTGCAGACAGACTCAAGACTGGACTGGGCTGGAAGCATCTTTAATTGGGAGGTGATTTGATTGTTTGACGATGGCTTCAGATCATCCCACCAACAGGACCCACGCTACGTCGACATTGACAACCGCCTCTTCCTGTCTATCTGTCTTTCTACCCAGCAGACTAGTTACGAAGCAACTCAGCCATTTCCCAACCTCCCGGCTTCCTGCTGTTCCATTCTGGCTCAGTCTTCTCGAAGGCACTAACGCCATTCCTTCCGGTTGGCTCCGGTGTAGACCGAGCAACCTCAATTTTCCTTTTTCTTGGCCAACTATTAGCGGTTTCTTTTGAGAGAGCGAAAATTCGTTTCACCATTGCCTCAAGGACTTTAGAACCAAAGTCAAACCAAAGTCAAAATCCATGCGGCCCAACAGTGTTACAGTAGTGAGATGCGGGTGGAAATCATCGATCGCAAAGCATGCCGAAGATTGCGATCATATCCACCAGCGTACGCCATGACAGATTCTAATCAACTGACAGGTCTAGCTTACTTCGCATACGGATTGTCCGTTAAACACACCACGTTGATGGCGATCTCCACGGATTAAGATAAAGCTCATGAGAACGACGGTTGACGTCCCCTCGACGAGTCACAACTCACAAGTCAACGAACGTACACGGACCACAAGCCTTCTCGGAAACTAGGCAATAGAAATCCGACTGTTAGTCGGGGAGGGCTTACCCTTCTCATTCAAGTGGTATTTTCTGATTTCTAAGAAACTCAGCAGAATAAACTCGGAGAAGCTCCCACGACAGTCCTTTGACGGTCTCGAACTTATGCTGCAGGGGACTCGGGTATCCCGTTGTTAGTTTCTGACAACCGTTTTGGCGAAAAAGAAAAAAGGAAAGAAAAAGGAAAATCCATCCAAAGAGAAGCAGGGAAACTTTCGACGAAAATAAAACAAAGGGACCTTTGGGTGGGTACATTTTCAGGTCACAAACACTAGCCTGCGTGAGATACTACATCTCCTGCTTGACAGCATTACCTCTTACTCTCTCACAGATTCGGAGCCTGGCATTCGCAGCTTGATTTCGTGACATTACCCCGAGGTCCCACACCATTTTTTGAGACCTACAGGATTTATAGACCGGGATCGTTCTCTTATACTCGAGTCAGAACGCTAGGCTGGAACTGCCTGGCAGGGCCACGGCCCACCAAACACCAGCCATGAGCTAGCTAGCATCCTTGCGCTAGTAGTCCTGATACTCTTGTCAACCCCCCATCTTACCTCGTGGGAATTTCGCCGGTTGCTCCTATGCGCTCAGCGCCTTTCTCATTGATTGGCCTGTCTTTGGGTGGAGTCTCTGCCACACAAAGTACCACCCTGTCTTGTCTCGACGGTCAACCAGGGGCGTTGGCTATTTCAGCCTAACCAGTCTACGACATGTTGGTATCTAAAGCGAATCCCTTTAACCCGACGTCCAGCATCCTGCTCATCATCTTTCGTATCCAATAGGTGAGCATTAGTTTATCCTAGCCCAGCCCTGGTATAAGTGGGCTTGACTGTCTCCGCTCCTGTTTGGTCCTGTAGACATACATGCATGGTGACAGAGAAGATAAAAATGAGACTCTGAGACTCTCTTTGTCTAGCGCAGTGTTTCAAGCTTAGTTGTTGATGTCGGTTTGCTTCCCGCCTTCTTGACCTTTCCTGAACCTGCTATACTGTGGCAGTCATCGGGCAGCCTGGCAAGGAGCAAATAACCTCACAGAGTCTTAAATTACCTTTTTCGAGTACAGTCGTCATTGTATGCTTTAGGTCCCATCTGCAGCTAGGTAAGCTTGACTGGAGACGCAGATCCATCGAATGGGCGATTTTCTTGCCTTGTGCCGATTCTGTGATGTATGAACTCCGCCTCTCTTCTACCATTTGATTACCCTTTTCATTCTAGAACTTTTCTTGTGTCTTCGCATCCATTACTCTGCATTGTTGGCCGGCATAAAGAGACTGCGGCCTATTACCGAACAGGGTGTGCGCCTTATGAGAGATTTATCTGAGCCTGTCTCGGTCTTTGTAATTTCCTTTTTCTCTTCTTCATCTCCGTGTCCTTGCACCTTCAGTAACGACAAGGAGGCCCTCGAAAATTCCATTTCCACATCTAATCTCCCCTGATGCCAATTGAGCTCTGTGTCTGAGCTGTCCGTTGCCTCGATCCGGTCAAGCTGACCCATCGCAACCAGTGCGTTGACGACTGAGTTTAAAACATTCCATTTCAGAGACCCAACTGGCCAACGTACCCTGGTAAGAGGAAGCTGTTTCCATTTGCCAAGTTCACTCCAAGTAAGCTATAGCCTGGACCTTCATCAGATACAGAAGGCCGAAATGGCCCTTCCTGCCCCTGGACATTTCTCGACTTGAGATGCATCACACGCTTCTATTTGCGCCCCCAGCTCATCATCATCTGGATATATTCCATCATATTGACCAGTGGGACAGTCAGCGCGTATCAACGCGTATTAACGCGTACCACATCGCTGGCGACCAGCCAGGGTGGGACTGGTTTACTCGAGAGTCTCGCTGTCGTTGTGCATGGCAGAATCATCTCGTGTCGCAGCTCCTCGCATTCGCTAACGTTCGCATCGCAATCTCTGACATCAACGAAGCGTTTCCCCTTGTCGCAATACCCAGTCACCGATCATCTTCTATACAGTCAGATCTCGTTCGAAGCTTTTACAAAAGATCGAATAGCCTGCCGGGGCTTCGGAGCCCTAGCAGAGCCGATGTATGTCTGTGACGCTGGCGGATCCGTACCGAGATTATGCTCTTGATTATGCCCAACATGCTAAACCGGAGGGGCATGAGAACGCACTCGCCTACCAAACGCAGCATTCGCATCTTCAACGTCATAAAGAGGCCAACCCTCCGTTCCCGCAGGGGAGCCCACACAGCACGGCATACGAGCAACATCATGCAAGCACGACCGTTCTCCCAGCAGCAAATCCTGACATCTCCCAGTCCGTTGTTCTCACACCAGCGCACATGCTCCCTAGACAGCTTCCGATGCAGTACACCCCTACCAACTTCGAGATCCCACCAGTTCAACGCGGCAAGAAGCGACCCCATTCCGAGGCGGAAGGCGAGGGTGACTACGGGGGCCATGGAGTTCGCCCGCGCTTGTCAGCGCTTTCCACGCAGGCATCTACAGAGACGGCACAATCCCCAGGGATGCTCTTTTCTGTCCAAGGCGATTCTTCACAGCAACAAGCACACCAACAACAGCAGCAGCAACTGCCACAACAACACCATCACCACCACCATCATCAACCGATGCCGAGCCATGGATTCGGGCCACCTGAGTCGATGGCGCTGCCCCAACAACATCACCACCATCGTCTACCCCCGCAGGCATCGCTTCACTCTGCAGAGCGGCATGGCATGAATGTGGAAACATCTCCTATACCTTCTGGTCTACCAAGTGTAGTAGGCCAACCAGGCATGCCTGATCCGGCTCCCAGGCCACGAGGCCCGAAACTTAAATTTACGCAAGAGGAGGACGCCTTACTAGTTGAGTTGAAAGAGAACAAGAACCTGACGTGGAAGCAAATTGCCGATTTCTTTCCTGGTCGAACGAGTGGCACGCTGCAAGTTCGCTATTGTACCAAGCTGAAGGCCAAGGATGTGACATGGACCGATGAGATGGTAAGTATTACTTTATGGGAGCGTTCATTCAACTTACCAAAGGAACCATTGACGTACTAACTGATGCCTGTCTAGGTTCAACGACTACAGCGTGCGATACAAGAGTACGAGAATGATCGATGGCGAATAGTCGCAGGGAAGGTTGGCAATGGCTTTACTCCAGCAGCTTGTCGGGAAAAGGCGTCTCAGCTGTGACAAATGTTTTGATGGATATCATGGGATACACGAAGACGGGGATGGTCAGTGATGCGTGGGATTTCCTACTTCTTCTTTCTCGAATTTCTCTTTTTCCCTTATGTGACGGGTGAACGGAGAGAAGCCATGGCTGGCTATGGAAAGATGCTTATACAACATTGTGTATATATCTGTATTATAGGGATTAGAACAGTCTTTTGGACCAAAGGCGTCATCGATGGAGCAATTATTTAACCCTAAGCCCTGAATAGACTACCGGAACGGGAAGGGAATGCTATACTGGTATTAGTGGTGTACCGTAGAAGCTCCGCAGCCAATCAGTCGGGTCTGCTGAGTAAGACGCAGCGCACGACTCGGGAGTTTGGGCGGCTCTCAGTCAGGTGCTCCAGTCGTCAGCGGGCCGAAACGGCTTCAAACTCACCTCGAACCTCCAAACTCCCTCTCCACCAACCCTTCTCCCTCCCCTCGTCCAGCCGCGATACCATCAATTGCCCAGGACAATGTTCCTCCAACGCACAGCTTTCGCCCTTGCAAGGCGCGCCCCTGTTAGAGCCATTGCTGCTCGTCCTTTTTCCTCTTCCATCGTCCGCTGTACGTGAACCCACATAAATGGCCAGCACCACCTCTATGACACCATTGTCCCTTGCGTGGCCCAATTGAGTCTGCACAAGGCAATGGATAACTTTGTCAACAATCTCTGTATGGTATTCTGGCTAACATTGGACTTTCATGCTTTAGGCCAAAAGAAATATGAGGTGAAGAAGGAGGGCAAGATTCTTCCCTTTGAAGGTTGGTGATAAGACGATCGTCCGGTCTCCTATCATGCAACATTACGAGAACGCCGAAGAATATCAATCAGTGTCTCTGTCGAGAGCTACCTATTTGTGCTATGCAATGTGCCACTGGACTCGTTCTTGGTCTCGTCCTTGCATTTTCGTCATGCTGGATCCCGTTGACTTTCCCTCGGCTACAACACCCACTGTGAATAAGGCATTGTGCTGACCTTTATGATTACTTTGCAGATATCAAGAGTGAAGAGGACCTCATTCCTCCGGGTGCTAAACCCGGTACCGTCCCCACGGACGTTGAGCAGGCCACCGGTCTTGAGCGTCTGGAACTTATCGGAAAGATGCAGGGCATTGACATCTTCGACATGAGACCCCTCGATGCTTCCAGAAAGGGTATGCGGATCTCCTTGCATGAAATGAGGCGTGGGAGCAGCGTGTCGCGCGTTTGAATCGAGGCTAACGAAGCTTGCGTCATTAGGAACCCTTGACAACCCCATCATTGTCAAGAGCGCTGGTGACGAGCAGTACGCCGGTTGCACTGGATACCCCGCAGACTCTCACCACACTGTCTGGCTGACGGTAAGTATTGCACGCTTTGTGGCTCTGTGCCCCCAAATTGCGCAGATGGCTAAAACATATCTTTTCTCTCACCGTAGGTATCTCGTGATCGTCCTATCGAGCGCTGCGGCGAGTGTGGTAATGTCGTCAAGCTGGAGTATGTTGGACCTGAGGAGGACCCCCATGCTCGTAAGTTCCCTTCACTTGTCTCGTATCGCTGCTTGCCTTCCTCTTCTCAGTTGTTTTTCGGCTTCTTACATATCCATTCACAGACGAGCATCACAGCCACCACCCCCCTCACGAGGAACCCAAGACCTTCGCCGACTACGTCAAGCCTGAGTACTGGTACCGGTAAATATTCCATGCTACGAATATTGTGCGACTGTCCTTTGGCCTCTTGCTCCACGGAAAAAGATTTAGGAGAAAAGAACGGACGATAAACAGCAAACGTCAAAATAGCTAGTATTCCCACCTCGGGCCTTTTTGACCGTTTCTTTGTCACGCGTCTAAGGCGGTTGTGGCTTCACTGTTGACCCTCCCTGTGATTTTTTTTTTGTAGAATATAGTCGAAGTTGATTGAAAGGAGCGCAATTAGTGTTTGTTTAGTGTCGATTTCTCTTCTTCCTGGCTCTACTGCTTTACTGTAGATTGTCTTCCATGACAGACTTTGTCAAACCGCCAAGTCTATGCAAGATTTGAGAAGGATGTGACACATGCTGACATGCAACCACGGCTGGATGGCATGACATGGCCTAGTACGGATTAAGGAGTATGGCCTGATCTACGGGAATACCGGGGAACCGGAAGTAGACCGAGACCCCGTGCCTTCGTTTGTGGCTAGGTCTTTGACTGGCAAATGCCAGTTAAGTGCGCGATCGACGTGAGTTAGGCATCAGCAATTTAATAGGTACAGGTTTCAGTGACGGAACGAATCGATAACCAAAACTCATCAATGGCATTATTGCTATGGAATAGGCGTATATGCCTTAGAAATCCAACAACGAACTTTTCGATATTATTCTCGCGATGAAACCTTCTTCTGGGCCTTTACTCTTCTAAAAGTCGTATATGTCTATTTCTTCGGCCGTGACAACTTTTTGTCGTAGCTCAAGTACTCGGTTACCGGAAGACTCACCGTTTGAGCCAGCGGAGTTCAATGTACCGTAGGGGAGGGTAGACGAGGCCGGCCCATGTGAATCCCACATAGTTGCCCATCTACAGAAAGTCAGGAGGGATTACTGGCAAGAGAACGATGATAACACTTACATCTGCACCATATTCCCCGACCGACTTGGCAAGCGGTCCAATGTACCACAGCTGCGCCATGCAGAGGACTGCACCGGCCCAGCCCACCAGGAATGCAATGAAGGCTGCAATGCCCACGGGCAACTTGGACGGATCGTTCCAGGCGTACCAGTTGTATCCGCTGCGCAAGCGGAAGATGAACCGCTCTTCGAGAATGATGGCGATCCAGATCGCGACCCAGTATCCCATAAGCGCCAGGAAGTTGGTGAAGATCTCGGATAAGTGGCTCCGCCCTGCCAGCGCGCAGACGATGTAGATGACTACGCCAATGGTGTTCCAGATAGCGCGAGGGACCTTCTCCGCGTACCGGCCAAGGATTTGGAAGTCGACACCGGCAGAGTATGTCGGCGCAACGGTGTTGGCGATCAAGCCGAGGGCGACAACTACGGAGCAGAACTTGCCGAATCCGTGCAGAGGGCCGAATCCTTCGACGATGAGGGCGCCTGCACCCTTTGCGTATGCCGCGCTGTATTCTAGGTGGGACGGTATACCGGAGGCGAGCCCAATACCGGCGAGGAAGGCCAGGGTGAAGGAGACCATCAGGCCGGACAAGGATAGGGAGAAGATGGCCAACTTGGAGGTTCCTTCTGGATAGTAGACGAAAAAGTCTGCCGCCAGGGGAGCATAGGTGATGGCGGCACTCACGCAAATCGAAAAAAACGATAGCCTGATGGTGTCAGACGCGCGAACAAAGTCTATTCGCCATATATAAACAAGGACTCTGAAACTTACCGGTTCCCAATGATTGTGCGAGCATCTCCCATCGATGGCGTCGACAGGTCATATTTCGAGGAGGAGACGCCGAACAAGATGCAGACGACAATCAACTGAGGAAGGAAGGCGTAGCTGGATACGTTCAATCTTTGTCTGTACAACTTTTTCAAGCTCTACATACCGCTCATAGTAATGGAAGGCATCAATGCCAAAGGTGGCAACGACCCAACTTATCAGAGCTATAATCACGATACCTTCGTCTCGTTAATTCAAGGACAAGCATTAATAAGTGACAAGTTACTCACCAACGGCAACTGACAGATTCCCATTTGGTGAGACAGCGGACAAGATCTGGCCTCCAACTACGCAGTCAATGAGGCAATACCCGAGCATCTGGATCAAGTTCAAAATCACTACGATCTTGCTGGGCCACCATCCCATTGCATAACGGCCGAAAGCCTGCATAACTGTCAGAGAAAGCTGCTTATCGCGCAAACCCCTTAAGCGAGAAGAGAACATACCATGGTGCGGATTCCAGAGATAGGTCCTCGAGTAGCCATCCACGACGACACAACGGAACCAAGCAATGCACCCAGAACAGCACACAACGCCGAATCAAGAAAGCTGAGCCCATAAACAACAGGACCCAACATCCCCAGAGTTATGTTGTTTGCTGCCAGATTGATCGAGACCCAGAGCAGGAACGCCTGGGTGTAGGAAACCCAGGAGAGCTTTTTCATGCGTTCACCCTCATGCACTCGTTCGATTCCGCGAGCCTCGAAGTTATACTCGACGAGCTGTTGCTCGAATCTCCTAAGGTACATGCCCACGCGAGACGGGATAACGCGGCCACTGGGGCTCTCGCTATGGGTTTCACCCTTCTTGTGAGGATGAGGAGTCGGTTGCTCCTCGGAACGGAAGCCCGAAGGCTCCTTTTCGGAGTGCATCCCTAGCGAGGGATTTGCGATTTCAGACGACATGCTGTTACTCTGAGTTAGTCTTCAGATACCATTGAAAGGGCTAGAAGCTGAAAGAGCGCGCATGAGTCCTTTCGCTGGAATTATCCAGATCAAGTTCAACCGTATAATCTCAGAACGACAACAGCGACGCCACATGTACCCAGGAACCATTGGCGATAATCTGACGATGCGACTAGCGACAATGACCACCAGATGATATGTGAAACGCAACACTGAAGCCGAACACCGGTCTTCATGCGGGCAGATTATCTAGATACCTTGATCGATAGACAAAACCAGGCTACTCGTCTTCATGATAGGCTTGAAAGCTATCTGTTGCAGATTTAAGAAGACAGGAGAGATGTACTGGAACGTTGGTTCGGGGCCCAATGGATATTGAACCGGTGTGATACTCGATGACTTGGTAATAGAGGGAAGGAGGATCTTTTGAGTCAGCGAGTTTTGCTCCGACGAAGGATTGTCTCCACACTTTGATGGAGAGAACGAACTACGTACTGAGTAATACGTGGGGAACTCGATCGATATGCCAATGGGCGCAAGCCTCTTCCCTCTCTGACAAAATTCGATCGACGCAAGGATGAGTACCACGAGTATGATGAAGAGGAGAAAGAAAAGAAATGAACAGAAGAGAGTCAAAGAAACGAGCGGGGATCCAAGGAAGGTTTCTCCCAAGTAATTTTTTTCCCGCCGCGGGAAACTTTTTTCAACGTCAAAAAACGTTCTTTTCTGGTCTCCGCCCTTCGCGCCTTGGCGAAAATCACCCTCAATGGGACTATGGGTCGAAATTTGAAGGTACAAGATAAATAACAGATTAAGTATCGGATAATGGCGACAGGTAGTTGTCGTCTCTATCTCTTTTGTCGCGGGACCCTCAACGATCAGCCCTCGGAGGGCTTGGGCCATCCAAGCCCTACGATGTACATTATCGTCTTGGTATCGCTAAGTATGATAATATTGTTAAGCAAAGGGGACTGAAACAGGGACGGCTCCATAGGCCCGTGTGGCTCGGGATGTTTTTAAGCAATCACATTGATTCTAGCACATGCATCAACTTGGTAGAGAAATGCATATATTCGAAAATGAACAAGTGAAGTCAAGGGCATATAGTGACAGTAGAAGAGCACGGCCGAAAGGAAACCCAACGAAACGAAAGAACATAGACTGGATAAATGAAAAATGACGAACTCCATGAACCTGTGCCGTTCCTAAACCTTCTTACCGTGTCGTGCGCTCTGTGCCCACCGAGAAGCTCCTACTTCAATATATAGAGCGTTGCATCATTACCCTGCATGAAAATCGTCACGTCGTTGAATGTCACATCACAATCAAAGATTCTTGAAATGCTCCTTCGCATATTGCTCGCATGCCTGTTTATACACAATGATTTAGGAGTCGAACACCACGCAAGTTTGGGGAACAGGTAACTAACTTTGGCGGGCTTTCCAACCTTCTGTCCGATGACCTTCCACTTGTTGGCCTCGTATTCTTTTATTGCCTCCCGTAGGGCAACAGACTAAATGGTGTCAACGCGCAAAGATCATGCAATAATCAGTCAGGCAGTACCTCTTCTTCCGCGAACTCAGCATAATGCATATCCTGTGACCGATGTGAGTAATATGTCTGAGCTCATGGCAGTGAGAACACGCCCGACCTTGTACCAGTGCTTTTTCACACTCCCCTCAGTTCGGGTGGGAAAGGTCTGTAGGGTTCGCAAAGGAGCAAACAATCAACGAAGCAAGTTCTATCAATATAAGGTGGACCATCGAGACGAACCTTGGCAATCTCGCTCCAGCTGCGACCCGCGTCGCGCATTGTCTTGAGTCTTTGTTCTTCCTCCGCCGTCCAGGGCGTATTGGTCCGTCCTTTCTTCTTTGGGGCCGCTTCTGGGGCACTTTGGGGGGTCTGTGTTGCATCTGCCGAAGCAGAAGTGACTGGTGCAGCCATGGCTGCTGCGGCACTTGACTGGGGTGAAGCCCGGCGTTTGCGGGAATTCTGAGGCGCCACCTGAGCAGGAGGTATAGGAATGCCCTCGTAAGCAGGGACTCTCTGGAAAGGATTGATTTGTTGCTGTGTTAGGAGTTGAGGTGGTACGCCGGTGGAGACAGATGTCTTGATGCGCTTGGATGTTGGAGGCGACCTGGTCAAATAGAGAATGAAGAGAGATTCAAGGTTAGTAAGTGAGACGTGCTCCTGTTCCCGCCATGAGCGGGAAGCGTACCAAGAGAAACACGCTTATGACATGCACATGTATGTCCCATGTACATGGAAAGGGAAAGAAGGTCTTCAGCTGCGGCGCAGGACAAGAAAAAGGTCACTTACGACATGTTGGAAGATACGCCGCTGTCCCAGTCACGCTGCGACGATTCATCTGTCAATACACATGCTTAGGAGATTAGCACATCTGCTACTGACAGGAGTTTGTGTAGATTGGCCGGTCAAGTCTAGGGAAGTGGGCTCTTTTTGTTACACTAGACGCGGTGATGACACGGGCGCATCCCACAGTGTGGCGGTAGCGCCGCAGAAAAGGAAGGAGGGAAAATGAGCGAAGGGCAGAAAGGAGCGACCGGAGGGTGATACATGCATGCATGCATGTACTGTATGTATGCGAATAAGACAAAAAAAAGAGAGTGCTGGGATGGAGTCGGTAGGAAAGTGAGAGTTCGGAGGGGAGAGTAGGCGAGGGAAGGGAAAGAGAGAGGGATGTATAAACAGGTTTAGGCACAATCACAGGAGTAGTTCTCTAGCATCTTTGGATACATTGGCTGAAAATAGTACGGACTGACTCGATGTTGTTGACTGGAGTCGATGATGATAAGACACTCTTTGTCAGGACCCGGTGGAGATACAAGAGGGAACGGAGAGGAGTGTGAGATCAGAGTGAGGCTTACTGATCGTCAGAGTTCATTTTATTGGTATCTTTATCTTCAAGAAGAGTAAACGAGGGGAAACATCAGAAGTAATTGACCCGAGCTGAAGAGTGGGTAATGGTAATAGTTGTCAGTAGCAGAGACAAGTTACATTCGGAGGTTGAAGAAGCAGCAGTGGGAGGAGGAGTAGAGGTAGGCTGACGAAGTGATCGATAAACAAATAGGGGAGAAGGGAGGGAAAGGGAAACAGAAAAAGGAACTAATAATAATGATGGGAAGGGAGCAGTAAGAACCAGCAGTTCATCCTGCTCTGTAACAATGCTGGACGCCAGATCCAGTAACCGTCAACTAATCTAAAAGTACCTTTGAGCTACAGTACCTAGAGCCAGGTAGGTAAAGTACGTCAACTAGCAACATTACATACATCTCAAAAGTACTTGGTACTTGATGCATATTCACTGTCATACTTATATATCGACTCATCAGTACGCTGCGGATAAATCACTACAATTTATCGATGATAGGTAAGAGATGATAGGTACCTCTGGCTAAATTTCCGCGGAGGGTTGAAGAAAGACTGTGATAGAAAAGACCAGGGGAGCCATCGAGAACCATCCTCCATTCATTCTTCATTCATTCCCGCTCAGTCCGAATCCACTCACTTGCTTTGTTGCCCTCTGTCTTTGGACAGTGCTAACCAATGAACATCAGATGGTGATAGAGATTATTCTCATGAGAGAAGAGACCATCACTTGTGATTGCCTGCATCCCTTAAGAGAGCATTTCCGTTCCTATTGTGACGACTCAAACCTGGGACAGACTCTCGTACCATGTGAGAAGGTAAGCAGGATCTGGTACTGTGCTTCATACAGCAAGCCACATTTATAACTGCAGGGTATGTGGGTTCTCCAACATGTCCAAAGCACGGTTGACGACTTCGTGCTTTGTTCCAGTAGATAAGTTGATACTTTTATAGAAATACTGATCCTTCCTCCATAGCCTCTGTAACCTCATTCATAGTGCGATTTCTACTCTTTGCAGAATCAAGGTCAATCACAACAACAAGGCCAGCTTGATCATCCCTAGGGTAGCAACCACTTAGATGGTAGGCAACGAAGAAGCCAAGACAAAGAGGAGGGGAGGTGGCGGGATTTGTCCTGTGCGCGTTGCGATCCTGTAAACTACTAGTAAGAGAGGCGGCAGCAGAATGAGGACAACTGGGGGGCCAGTACCTAGTAATATGGCCCAGCTACTTTACCGAGGATCTCTCGTGTCTGACAATAATCTGAAACCAAACCGACGCCAGGAACTCCGGAGAACTTTGTATATCTAGTACTGTTCTGAAGCCTCCCAGAAGCGACCGCGTGGCACGGAGTACGACCTCAGAAATCCAGAGATGCTCACGTCTATTTGTGTAATTGTATGTATTGCAATACCTTCTCCTCTGTACCGTACCCAAGGTAATCACAGTCCAGCCCTGTACACCGAGCGTCAATGCTCCAGACAAGTGCGGGGTAAGCTGAAGGCCTCACTCAGGCAGAATCCAACCAGTCAGACAATACGAAGCTTGTCCGCTGAGGACAGAACTGCCTGCTGTGTCGGTATATGTTGCATAATCACGTACGTCAGTGAGTTGACCAGTGATATAGACGTACTACCGCCTTGACAGAAGAAGGCGAGATCTGATGTGGTGATTCTTCCAACATTGTGCTGATCCTCACTGGTAACCTGCCAGTATGACAGAGTTACTGTCGAACATGTAACAACTATCTAGTATAAACTAAGATACCTCAAATGGTTCAGGGTTAAAGAGCTTAAGATAGTACAGTGGTTTGAGTTAGTGATCACCCAGATAAGCATTATCTCAATAAATTGAGATCCACATAAGGTAAGCACTCATATTTCTCTTCCTGTCGATGACCGAGTTGTTGGAACTCCATACAAAATGTCTCTTCTTCAGGGTAACATCGTAAGCGATTGACCTGCAAAATCGAAAGGCATGTCGAGCTGAATTGCGAAGCACCGGCATTCTTTTCAATCAAGCACTTGGTGACTGTGCTTAGCGCAGAATGAAAAGAGACCCAGATATATACGGCAAGCCCATCAAAAAGCATTCGCTAACCTGGTTACCAGTGGCAAACATCCAGTAGCATCAGAGTCTGTTCTAATTTTATTGCACAAAGTTATGCTTATTCGATCTTTAATAAGCATACCGCCAAAGTGTCCAGTAGAAGGTATGAGCTTCAGACCACCAAGCTGGTGAAGCTGACAGCACCTTCAAGAGCGACGCAACGGTCCCGTCTCATCAGCACGAATGAACGATCGCCTAGCGCTGTCGAGTCAGCGAATCTCAGATGCTTGGTATTTGAGAATATAGCAAGGACACGGAGAGCAAAAAGGATAAGCTGGCTCGCGAAACTATCTTAACCCATCCTAGGAAGGAGATCTGTCCGTTTAGTGCCATCGAAGTGCTACTTTCATGTTCGCAGACAGCTGGAGTGGCTGGACCAAGAGCTAAGAGTCGACGTCAGTCACGTCATCCGGAGCTACTCACGTGATGGACAACGCGGCCCCGTGTTCTAAGACCATATTTGGTAAAGCCAGATGGGCGGTGGATCACTGAGGAGAAGCTGAGATAACAGATCACGACTGCTACCACTCGTTACGTACCTCGACCTCTGCTTCTGTTTCATCAGTGTCACCATGCACTATCAGCATTTGATTGTTTTTAAGTGATTATCTCCCTTGAGTATACAAGTCTTCTTTCTTTCCTCGCCAATACCACCTGACGACAATTCCAATTGTCATCGCGGTGCCTAACACGTTGAGCTACCGCCGCAACAAGGTAGTCTTATCTTGGCCCCCCGTGAGGAGTCGCAACACACCCCAAGCTCCTAAAGTTGTCTTCACCACAAACCAAGCTTCAGTAACGAGATCACCTGAGTGCCTGCTTGGATCCATTGAACGTTGTCGATGGTAGTTGCGCCGGTGACTCTCCAGACTGTCTTTCAGCGTTCTCCCTCAAATATTCGAAGAATAAACCAAGATGAGTATGAACGTCTTTCGCCTGTTAGGCGATCTGTCTCACATATCGTCGAAATGCATCTTGATGTGGGCCATCCATCGGAACAAAAGTGCGGAAGGTATGTACAGACACTCCCGCCCCTCGCCATAGGGATAGGAACGTGCAACTGACTCTTCGATTCTGAATATCAGGTGTCTCGCTACTCACACAGATACTTTATGCTGCTGTGTTTGTCACACGCTACCTTGATCTGTTCCGAGGGAGCGGTTGGAGAAGCTTCTACCTCGTTTTCTTCAAGTTTTTCTATATATTGTCTTCTTTTTATATCATTTTTTTGATGATGAAGGTCTACCCGCGGACGCGTGAGAGAGAGAGGGCATGGAAGATGGCTCTCGGTTCTGTCGTGCTCTCGCTTGTCCTAGCGCCGATTGTGACTCCAATTTTCGACGATAAAGAATTCTTCAAAAGCCACTGGTTCACCGAGGTTGGTCTAGCATGCCGTGCACACAGAGATCTTGTTGCCCCAGTGCTAATTGGAAGTATTATGCAGACAATGTGGTCCTTCTCCATCATCCTAGAATCCGTATGCGTGCTTCCCCAGCTCCTTCTACTCCGCCAGACTACCGTTCCTACGGTCATCGACTCATACTATCTCCTCGCTCTGGGCTCTTACCGCGCGTTCTACATACTGAACTGGTTTGTGAGAGGGTTCGGTCCCGAGAAACACTGGGATCCAATCGCTATGATCTTTGGTATCGTTCAAACTGCTTTCTACGTTGATTTCGCTTGGGTCTACTATTCTCGTCAGCGCGTCAAGCTTCGAAATGGTGGTGTGGTCGATTCGGAAGATTATAGCAAAAGTTGGATAGTTAACAAGGTGTTCAATATCAGACGGCGACGAGAAAGTCTGGACGAGGAGCAGAACCTTACCGGAGAAGGAATGGAAGGGGAGAGGGGAGATGGTGGTGATAGGCCTAGCAACAACCGCTGGGGTGCTCGCGGCATTTCCATTTCAGCGGACGATACCTTGGACGAGCACACCCGGCGCAAGCCCGGGGATGCGGATAACGAAGGCTTGGAGGGATTCCTGGAGGATGAGGATGACAGTCTGGATGACCAAACTGATGGGCAGAGCCCATTGCATCACGCATCGGTCACGTCCAATCGTGACTAATAATCGCTGTCGATGGCGATACTTATAGAAACCCCGGAGCAAGTGGATTGATCTCCCTTGTCCCAGTGTCTCTTTGGCTTTGGAGTGATTCAGTTAGTGATTCTGGCAATGTTTTGGGGGGTTATTAGGATAATGGCTCAAGGCGCAATCATCAATCAATGCTATTTTTGATAACGGGCAGTTAGCCTTATCTTCTTTTAGGATATGATGAGATCATGAGAATCATACGGATCTTTTGACTGGATCATCAATTTAAAGTAGTGCGGAGATCCATGGTAAGGTAAGGATCCGCCCGACTAAGCTGATGATTTAATCTTTTAGTGGAACCTGAAACAAAAGCCAGACAGAGCCCAGTGTTTCAGAGTCATTCTGAGCCATTGCTGCGCCAGGGCATAGCCACGGAAAGATCTATCCGTCCAAGATGCAAATAGACAATGCATGAGTGATACTTGACAAGGATCCAATGCTTCTCTGGAGAAGAAGAACGCCTTGCAAGGCGGATGATTCTTCTTCCGAGTGTCAACTTCAGACATTTTTGTCCCCATCGTGACCCATCATGACGACGGAAAGCGCATTTACCCAAAATGGACTACCTTAAATCTTGGCACCGCCTGCCGAAATCCCGGGAGATCACGTGTCAATGTCTTGCTATGTCATTTCGATGATTTTAGAGCCGAAAATTGCCAAAAAATAGTACTGGGAGAAAAGAATGACAAATCGTCCTTCAAATTACCCATCAGACAAAGAATACCATTATGAATTTGTGAAGGAATGCCAAGCTCGACGAGACACGCTCAGCTGAGTCGACCTTGGTCTCTTTCAGCGGGTCATCCTTTTATTCTTGAGCAAACGGTTCATGCTCTCTAAGCGCCAGCGCCAGCGCCATCCCGGAGATAAAGTCGATTTGGAAAATGATGGCTCAACCCGCTCAACCGACTGGCAGGAAGCATGTCCTCTGGCGCGTATGCGGCATGGCCTTTGTGGGACACGTGGCTCTGAATAGAGCGATGCAGACAACCGGCGAGATAATAATTAATAATGGGAATCCGGGAAGCTACCATTCACTACGTTCCATAGAAAGCTTGCTAGTCATGCAACCAAGACAGTTAGTGATGCGCAATTACAGGAGATTGATTGAGGCTTTGAGCCAGGCTCTGCTTAAAATCTCACCTTCATGGCTCAGGCTTCCAACTAATCCCACTAACTAGTTTAGTTCGGTCAGATCAGGCGTCTAAGACACTTCTCAGAGCCCACTGAACAAGCCAAACCCTCCAGGGGTTTGCAGCCGCAATTACGAACAAGCGCTTAATGGGCCGCTATCCGTGCATCCTTACCTGGCTCAGGACACGGACTGTTCCTTGATGGACCTGTCTTCCCTGACATAGTCCAAGTGGGTTTCTAGTAATGATTTCTTGCTCCTTAAGTCATGCTGAGCAGTCAATTATTCCGTACCCCGGCCCCATAGCCGTCTAGAATCAAGGATGTAGACTCGCTGTTCTGGAACTTTAGCCCTTTGCTTTAATTTCTTTTGATTGCACTCATCCTACCATCCGCTTACTGGCATCATCAAGAGCGTCCAATCTCTATACTACTCCACTAGCTAGTCAGTCCTTCGACGTCTTTAGCGTTAACCCCTTTACTATCATTTGACTCCTGAACTGCTGCAGCGGGCCACTAAGCGACTGATGCCATTCAAATGTCATTCTACAGGCTCCCGCCGCCCCTTCCTGGGTGATCCGATGCATTGGGACTTTGATGCTGCGGGAGCTACCCTTCTTTCCATCGATCAGGGTGGGCCAGATGCTGATGTCTGCGCCCCGAGAGTTTGGGGGCTGGAATTCTAGCTGTCATGTCATCGCAGGAGAAGATATTGCTTTCCTTTGATAACATTTCGGACCCCATCTCCGGGATAGCCAGGCGCTTAAATGCAGAGCCATCGTCGTGTCTACACCTCTCGTTACGAGCATCTTTGTGCGGCACGGTGATAGACGGCGGTATATCCGATGCTTTCTGCAGCTTTTTTGGCCCGTTGACGTGAGAGCTACTCGAATCTGGGCCTGCCTTGCAAGGCACTTCGACCACGTCTTGATCATCCCGACTGGCGTATATGAACCTGGATCAGGCTTTTGTTGGATGTTCTTCTCGTCTGCAAACCATTTTATACCTTCATTTCGTGCCTCGAGAAATAAAATTAGCTGTTGTGCAGAAGTGGCTACTCTGAAGTCGTGGTGGCAGGCCTTTATATTACTTTCATCGTCCATCCCCTTCTGCTTCTTGCCGCCGACACCTGTTTTGTCCTCCTGCTTGTTTCATCAAGCGTTTCATCTTTTTCACCGCGCATCAGTTCATTCGCTCTCGTTCTGGTCTAAGCGCGTGCCCCGTGTTTGCTCTATGTATCCTCAAACTCCTTCCGGGTTCGCCGGCCAAATGCCCTATGGCCAGGCCACTCCAGGAAGACAGGGTGATGACTTGGATGAATACTATGAGGCACTACCGCCTCAATGGTCCTGTGTTGAAACGGTAGGCTAATCTTCCTAGACATCTGTCCGGTGTTTCAGCTAGCTGACCAAACATTTGTGCTCCTTAGTCTCCATATTTAGCAATGAACCATCCGAACTCTACCACAGCAGCTGCATATCCGTCCGCCGCTATCTTAACACCAATCAGTCTCCCAGACAGCTCCTTTATCCATGCAAGACCGAGCCCGGTTGTCAGTCATCGTTCGCAAGAATATCAGTACAACATATCTGAAACGGTCCCGCAGCATGGGCTTGGGATCACGGCACCGTTTCCGAGTAATTTCCCGCGAACAGTAACGGCGGGTCTGGGACACGCTATAGATCAATACGACTTTGGCCATGCTGAAGCTACACTGTCTCCACACCCACCTCCAGCGAAACGAGCTCGAACAGGCAGCCTGAAGGCCGCAAGTTCGAGTCGTGAAACCCCGGTCTCAATACTGCCTCATCCTGAGGGACTCCAGCGACTAGAGCAAGAACGGCGACAAGGCCATATTGATCTTCATCCCCACCACAGGTCCCGCGCTCCCGGCCGGGGCCGGCGCGACCCGCAAGCGGAAGAAGAAGATGCTTTTGTCGAGGGACTGCGAGAACAGAACCTGGCATGGAAAGTCATCCGGGAGATGTTTCGCGAAAAGTTCAACAAAGATGCATCGGAAGCACGCCTGCAAATGCGGATGTTGCGCCGGCGCAAAGAACGGCTAGCGCGGTGGGATGAGCATGATGTGAGTATGTGTGTCATGTCTCATCGCCTCTGATTTGTCGTTATTTATTAATAACCGAGAGCTCCAGATCCCACTTCTCATAAGAGCTCGAGACCATTGGACACGTGAAAAGTATCATTTCATTGCTCAAAAGGTGAGATCGTTCCATCATTTCTTCCATGACGTACCCATAGATGTTCCGTGTGCTAACATATGTTGATGCAGATGAGGGACCTAGGCGCTAGAAGAACATACACCCCGCAGCAGTGTGAGGCTCAACTAAAAGACATGGAAGCTGAAAGCCGAGAACGTGCCGATGCTTCGTTATCGCAGATGATAGAGCGCTCACGGACTGGAAAACGAGTTAGAGCCAACAGCGACACAGGGCCATATCTTTGCTGATTTCTCTATCTTCTCTTTTTGGCTGACTTCCACACCCATCGTCCACAAGCGCATTGATTTGACTTGCACATGCCGCATTGGACGGCATTTCTGATTAGCAGGGTTTAGCGCAGCGCATAGCATTGCGTTTTCATTGCCTCAGTAGCATCTCTCCTCCTTTGCATATTTTTCTCTTCGCCAATTTTTTCATGGACATATTTTTTTATACAACTCATGTACAGCCATGTCGATACGAAATTGACCATGAGCACGTCTACTGCTCATATGAATACATAAAAACCTTCTATATTTCATGTCTTCAAAAATCAGTGCCAATATTTAGTCTGAAGAAACGCTAGAGAGGTCGCGGGCGGTCAGTGCAGTACTGCAGTACCCTCCAAGGCATGAAAACAGGGCCCGATCGACTCCCTACGCTTACATGTGCAAATATCCAAATCCTGCTTTTCGAGAATCGAATCTAGAACCTGCTGAGAATCATCTACTCCTCCCACAAGCCAAATCAGGCCCCATGCATACTTAGAACCATCTGCGGCTGAAAACCAGGTCCAAAGAGACAGGCAGCAGAGCATGCGCATCCGTCCCAAATTCCAAGAAAAAAAATTAGACTACGCCATGGCGGTGGGGGCTATATGCCTGGATTAACTACGCACCAGTGAGCATGCGGTGTAGGCGCTTAACCTGCAGGACGTGCAGCAGACCCCGTGAAAAGGAGTGGTGAGCCGGGCCCAAGTTTCAGACATGCGGCTAAAGATGGAGTAAGAGCTAAGGGGATGTTAATGCGGGCTGGCTATTTAATCCTCAACTTACATAGGACATACATATCCACGCACTCGGACATATACGGACATGGGGACTTATTTCCGTTCTGGGATGCATGTGGGTGGAAGATGATGGTATGGGATCGTTGTCTATGGTCAAAAATGTAATCGCTAGTGCAAAGATAGGCGCGTCGAGATTTGTTCGGTTCAACGGTATCGTTTTTAACGTGTCGGTCATGTCTGCATGTCTGCCCCCACTTCTGAAGACCATGGATTTCCGTTGCGCATTGCTCAAAGATAATCAGCTAGCTTCAGCAGGTTCTCCGTCCGATTCAAAGTCCTCCTCGACTACTGGGAACGTGCACAAAGCGGCAACACCTCCCAATCCGTCCAGTCTTCTCCCGCTCTCATGGTCGGAGCTGAGTACACGCACTTCGCCCCCCTCGGTGTCCCGGACTCGGTCAACAAGTGACACCCATCGTTTGCGCTCCGCCACGTCCTGTGACCGGAACAATCGATTTGAGATAATGAGGACACCGCCCCCACGGCCCACGGCTCCTTGGTCGACTGCCGACTCGACCTCGCGAGGTCCATAGATGGCCTTGTTAGTCTCCTTG